AGAACAGTGTTACTAAAGCAAGAGCTCGAGCGAAATCATGTATGCTGAATTTCCCGATCCTTCAATGGCTTTCCTTGTTCACAGATGATTCATACCATCCTATTTTATTTTCAGTGAATGCGATTAACATAAGCCCATTCTAAGCTACCAGCTGTACATCGTTACGAGTGTCAGACGCTTTCAGGACGATTGCCGTCGTAATGAGCGAGATCGCGGTGATTTCCACACCGTACGCCACGTATGCAGGAGCGCCAGATCCATCGTCCAGTGCAGGCATTCCGATAATACAATTGCAATCATATTGAAGGTCCATGCCAAAATAAGCTATTGCTACAAAAACTAAAGCTTAAGAAATAAATAATTGACATCAATAGTAGTGTATTGGAAAATTAACTACTTAGATGTTTGGCACTGCACATTACTTTGCGTTCACGATAGCTGCTACAGTGTTTGCGTCCCAGAAACGCCGATTCATCTTCAGGAACAACACGGTTTCAAGGTGAATAGGCAGCATACGCTGGCGATGGTGGAAAAGAGTATGTTTCGCCACACTAAAAAGACGCTCCACGGTGTTTGACGTCGGCGGGATGAAAAGCACACCATCAAATATCTTCTTTGCACCGCGCCGCTTTTTTTCTAGTCGCCAAGACTCTGTCGGCAAAGCCCTGGGCGTCCGTGCCTTGTGTCCGGTGTCGTAATTGCAGGTACCGTCTCAAATGGCTGCAACATCAGCTCCTGGTCGTTCGTCAGCTCGTCCACGGCGCCTGACAGGGCTACAACGCACGCTCGCTCGAAGTCCACGTATTTGCGTCGGCAGCAAGATACTTTTCACAACGGAATGCTTCTCGATGAGCGCATCAAAGATATCGCGCACATCGAGAAGCGTTACGTTGTCGTCTTGAAGCTTCATGGTGGCCGACTGGAAGTCGCCAAGCTGGCAGTAAAAAAGTAGCTGCAGACTTGCTTGGTCGTGAAGGTGTTGGCGAGAGCCATGGTGAGATCAAAAAATGATAGACGAGCGCCTCAGGTTCGCGTTTTGAGCGACCGTTGCTAACAGCCATCTGGAGACCGAGCTCCGTATTTACGCAAACAAAGCAGAAAAGACTAGATTTAACGAAAAATAAAGAACTTTGCTGAAAATACCAAAATAACTAAATTGGACAAAG